AGCTTCATTTTAAATGAAAATACTACTTATTTACTAAATAATTTAAACTATTCAATAATAAATCGATATTTGATCATTTAAAATCATCATTTTATCAGACTCAAAAAATCAGTGTTACCACGTACACACACATACACACACACGCATATTATCTAACTTTCTCCCTCACACACACACACACACATACATATATCATGTCGATTATTTAATGTTCATTAGCCTCCCCCCTTCCATCTAACTATCAACTCTTATATCATTGTTCCTTTCAGAAAAAGAAAATGTTTACTTCTTATTTTTGTGTGTGCTCAAATCAGAAGAAAACAGTTAGGTTAAGTGAAAGAAATGATTATCGAATGGGTAGACATCTCTATCTACATATCCATATAGACACTATTTAGAAAAGTTAAAGAAACTCAAGAAGAAACTGACTATTTCTTCTTTGTATCAATTTTTTCTCTCGTTGTAATTTTCTTTACTTTATTTATTTGTTGTTTGTTAGTGTTCTACAATCAATTGTGTTGGTCTTTTTCCTCTTTTTTTTTCTTGAATAAACCAAAAAAAAATAGAAAGTTTATTATCATTGAGTTCATTCAGTTATTGCTTGATTTGTTGACTGACTAACGGATTGATTGGATTGATTGATTTTTTTTTCTTTTACAAATATAAACTCTTCAATGGTAATGATGGTAAACTATTTAGTTATTAAATAGTATTGTAGCGCATGCTACTTATATTAATATAAGTAGTATATAACGCGAGTCAGGAATGTAATGTCTAGCAGAAGAAGATGAAGAAAGATCAAGAAAGGAAGAGCAGGAATAGAAAACAATTAGTATGGAAATGCAAGAACAATGGAGTTCGAGACAATTATTGAATATTTTGCAAATTAAGTATTGTAGTATGGTTTTTCTATTTTACCAAGTAACTCTGTAACTTCGTGGTGTTCTGTTCTCTAAAGTATATAAATATATATACCATTGGTTGCCTGATATGTAATTTTTACAGTTACCACTATGGATTAATCATAGTTGGAAAGATGTTGAGAACTAGGAAACGCAGCTGGAGCCAGGACTCGGACTCAAGACCTTCAATGATCATTTAAATTTTACCCTCCTGACTTAGTATTCAGTCTGATAAATGCTTTCCATTATGTTTTTGAGATGATTGAACAGATATGATAAATGAATTACTAATTATTATGTAATGAAAATTATATTGAGTCTATAAGATTTGTAAATGACTGATATCATTTGGACAAAAGACGATTGAATATATAAAACATGAAACAATGTTGTCAGTATGAGATTATGCAGATTGCATATTGAAGTATATTTCTTATTTAAAAAACTTCATCTTACATTGATTATATTTTTGTTTCTTGTCTTAGTCGTCGAGTTAATGCGACACTCAACATGTGTGTAACAGTCAGTTAAAAAGTGAGGATAAACATCAGTGTCATTCGTACCTTGTAATAAACCAAAAATGAAGCAGGAATTATTATTTAAACTATCGTAGTCCATGATAGTGGGCATTTCAGCTGGCTTAAACAAAAAAAAAAATGAAACATTTCCTACGATGAAAATATAGCTCTATTATTCAACGGACATGTCAAGTGTACGGCAACCAGTCATGATGAAAGAAAAATTACATAGTAAAAGACATACCTTCAATTAATTTTATAACAGAAATTATTCCAAAATATCTACAAATGAGTAACTTATTAAACGAAAACGTACTCTTTATTACTGAATACGATACACTTAGATGATTTGAAGTTTATCCTCAGATCTTATTAACTTACTTATGCCTGTTACTCCGTATGGAGGAGCATGGACTACCGACCAGCATCCTCCATCCAACTCTGTCTTGGACAATCCTATACAGTTGGTATGATTCAATTTATTTACTCTAGTTAACATTTTCTACGGGATGGGATTGTTGACTGCATGTTCAAGCCTTCTCCTTTACTCCAACTTGGGAATGGAAGTAACCCTAGAATAGCTACAAGCGGAGTTTATTCCCAGGCAATTCAAGGGATAATTACAGTTATATTTATTTGGGATAAATAAGAATAATAAGACAAAGTACATTTTACTAAATAAATGTAAATATCAATAGTTGAAATCATGAGTCGATTGAAGCCAGACCACTATGGAAAACCTGGAAGCACTGGACGGCCGTTTCGTCCTATTCTGGGACTCCTCGGCAGTGTGCATCCACGATCCCGCCTCACGAGATTCAAACCTAGGACCTATCAGTTTCGCGCGCGAGCGCTTAACCATTAGACCACTGAGTCGGTATTCAGTGGTTTTAATGTCTAACTTCAATCAATCCACAAGATTGCGCCACTGTACACCATTGTCTTTAGTGATATGATATCTCACAACAGACCTGTTTGAACACCATTGGTCACGGCTTCTAACTAGAACTGCAACTTCAAATGACTCATGATTTCAACTATTGAAGTTACTTAAATCTCTACAAAACCCCTTCTGAAAATGTAAATATCACAAATAATACTTTCATACTACTTATATCTATAGTCTATATTATCATGAATAATTTAATCTTTTTAAACTACTTATTGTCATCTTCAATCTATTCCATTGAATAGTTAAAACCTAAAACTAGCACATACCTATTCATAGGTAAATCAGAAGACTTCAATAGACACTTATACATATGAATAATAATGATATCTCATACATGTGATTCTATATTGAATGTATTTAACTTGTCAGTCAAAATGACAACTATCACATATTCAAATGATTGTATAAATAAGTAATGACTTGACTACAATTTTTAAAAATTAAAAAAATTTTCTTTCCAGTTTTCACTTTTTAGTGGGTCTTTTTCTCTCGCTCTCTCTTGCTCTCTCAAGAATAGGAAACCTTGTATCCCAAGGGACTTGACAACTATTATCATGGCTGTCAAATTAGTACTTTTGTTGTTGTTGTTATTATTATTATTATTGTTAATACCCTTTCACTCTTTCATTCTCTCGCTCGCTCTCTCGTTCTGACGACAAAATTAATTCACTTATCCTTAACTGATGGAAAACTAAGCGAAATGTAATGAAGTGAATAGAAATGACTAATTCTCCATACTGAATAATCATGGTAAAACTATCCATTCGAAATGAGAAGAATAAATCACAAAAATACGTTTTTTCTTCGTTTTCATGATAAGCGGGTGTTTTCAATGTGTAACCATTTTGATTTACATGTCTTGTTGTTAATTGTCCAGATTATGACATGATGAAATATCGTATCAGTTTAGTGATTCATTTCGAATATTGTTAATTATCTATCCGATGTCAAAATATAACCTTGTCAACTTTAACGTAATATAAATGGTTGAGATCATCAATCAATTGAAGTTAAACAATCATGAAAAACCTGGAAGTATTGGACGGCCGTTTCGTCATATTGTTGGACTCCTCAGCCGTGTGCATCCATGATCTCTCCTCGTGAGATTCGAACCCAGGACTTATTAGTCTCTCGCGCGCAAGCGTTCAACCACTTGACCACTTAACCGACAGGTTTATGAACTTGACAACAGTACTATATAGTTTGTCTGAAGTTATATAGATACTATTAAGTGCTGTAATCGTTAAATGGCTATCATTTACGTATGGTTGAGTAGATTGAATGACACGACAAACAAAACCTCAGGTTTAGTATCTTGCCATAATTTCCAGTCATTGATCCCTTCTGTTCCGTTTGAGCTAATATTAGTTAATCTGTTATTTACTAACCGAACATTGATATTATTTCCATTCACATTTTACTTTTCATTCTTTGAATCTCTTTAAACATTGTACCAAGCTGAATTCTGATATCCTGTTTGGAAAGCCTTTACGCTGGGGTTCTACATTGTCTATGACTAAGTGACTGAATGTCCAATCTTAAGGCATTCAATTGTAAGCTTTTTATTCCCATTCATTATGAAAATCATTTCACAAGTATTGGATGGATTTGATGAAATTCAGTGTAGTTACATAGTTGTGGAATATACATAACATTACTACTAAAAGATCTGTCTACACAGTGAATATTATGTAAAATTATGCAATTGTTTACCTAAATTTATGGCTAGACTTAAATATCACCTTCATACTTTTGGAGATTTATCAGAATGGAGTTTATGCAATGCTGAGAAAATCAATACTCAAAACCTCCCTCCAACCATGTAACTTAGTTCACTATATTTAATCTGATTTGTGACATTATTCATAATTTCTTCCAAAGAATAAACTTATTAATGATAATTCAGTTTAATAAATTGAAATCTATGACCAGTATAGTTCAACCTGTGTCTGTTGTGAGATAGTAACTCACTGAAGACAATGGTGGATATGTCACTCAATTTCGTGAATTAGTTGAAGTTAGACATTAACATCATTGGATGCCAGCTCACTGGTCTAGATGTTAAGCGTTAACACGCAAAACCGAACATTCTGGGTTCGAATCTCGCAGGGGGTGGGATCGTGGATACGCACTACTGGGGAGTCCCACAATAGGACGAAACGGACGTCCATTACTTCCAGGTTTCCCATGGTGGTCTAGCTTCAATGGACTTATGATCTGAACTATTAAGAAAAAAAACAAATTTACACTTACTTCTATCAAGGTAAAATTGTATTGTAGAGATGATGTTATACTATTTGGAACAAAATCAGCTCTAAGAATTCATTCAATTATTTAATCGTCAATTAATGTATTTATGAAGTATAAACTATATAGTTAATCCCAAAATAAAACCACAGAAATGGTAATAGATCCTAACCAACACTTTCACTAATCTTTGTGTGTAATCAAAAAAGTAAAGTATTCGACTTTGATTTATTATCCCCAAAGTTAGAGAGGTAACAGCACACAAACCCACAAACATACACACAAATGTATATATATATATATATATATATATATATATATATATATATATATATATATATATATAGGCATAGATACATAAATGAAAAAAATGGAACTCACTTTATTCTTTTGAAAATTTAATGTTGATCAAATTACCACACTGTTTAGTTACCAGATTGAAATGTTATCGTTATGATTATGTAATTAAGATATCATACAGATTTTATAATTCAAATGAGAAATTTGTGTTCATTCCATACACTATGAGAGAGAAAAACAAAGTATTCTTGATTTCTGATAAATAATATTAACGGTTATAATTCCTTGGGTTGGTAGTGGTGGTGGTAGTTGTGGTGGTGTTGGTGTTGGGGGTAATAATCAGTAATAACTGTAGTGTATTGGTACATTTTAACATGAGTTTATTCATGTACTCGTTGTTCAAGTGTGAATTCTAATAAATAACATTCAATCATTATCATCATTAATGTCTGTGTTGTACATCCATCATTTAGTCGCTTTCATCATTTCTCACTTTTCTTTTTCGTCATTATTATTTAGAGAAAAATACAGTTTATTGTATTTGTGCATTAGATACTACAATTATGTAAACCCCCTTTATTTGTGAGAGAGTGAAAAATTAAAAAAAAAAAAAAGAAGATTAATTCAGTCACAGTAGCTGTTGTGGTTTTTACCGATTAAAAACTAGAAGGCAATAAGTAAAGAATGGGAAAATGTATTGTATGGTGCTATACACACAAATCAGTTTGAAATATATATAAACAAATCAAATATGATGAAGGAGGGGGGGGAATCATGATGCTCCTTTGGTATCTTAACAACACAAATGCCGTTGTAGGTTTGTTAATAAAACTATTTATTTATTATAATCTATCCTTATGGACATATAGATGTTATAAGTGTAGGAATAAGTTAAATTGCTTTCATATTTCTTTGCCTACCATTAGTCTCTGTCTGTTCTCCAGTGTGTGTGTGTGTGTGTGTATATATATATGTGCCATGTATAAAACAAATAAGATTTAAGCACCTGCCGATCATGCTGGACATGTCAAACACCATAATATTCACAGAACCAATTACTTCAATTGACTTAATCATTCATTCACTTATAACTAACCAATCCATCTAGACTAATTCAATCATTCATTTAAACAAGCAGTTAGTTACATAGGTAGATAGATAGATAGATAGATAGACAGATGTGAATAAACAATTCCTATAGACAAACAAGCGGTTGGTTACACAGGTAATGTGTGTGTGTGTATAGAAATATATATATATATACACTGGCAACTATCAGGCTTGGGAATAGACTATGATAGAAATAACTATAATGATTTGGATGTGTTCATTTGTTGAGTGAAGTGAACTAAATTTAGATGAACAATTTATTTAGTATCTATCATCCATTCAGCTGAGATGATAATTAAAATATAATATCCAAGTTATTTTGTTATTTATTGGTTAAATTATCACGTGGAAAATGAATCATTCATCAAAACGATGAAGGTGATGATCATGGTGATGATGGTGATGATGATTGAATTTAAACTGATTCTATTGATAGATAACCATATTTAAACAAAATGAAATGATATAAATCTTATTGATCATATATGACAGTTACTAGTCGACAATTGTAGTGGTCTAACTAACATCAATCAGTTCATGATCTCAATCAAAAACTTAATAATCTTCACAACCCTATACTGATAATTATTAAATCCTCACTAGTGACTAGCTTTGTGAGGGAATTCTCGGAGTTATAGTGAGAAATTGTGACTAGTGGAACTAATCTCTGTCGGGTAGTGACAGGTATCTACCTCAGTACAATGAAAGATGGTCACACACTTTCATGGATTAGTTGTAGTTAGACATTAACACGATTGAATACCGGCTAGCTCAGTGGTTTAGAGGTTAAGCGTTTGCTCACGAGACCGACAGGTTCTGCATTTAAATCCCACGGGGCGGTGTCGTGGATGCTCACTGCTGTAGAGTCCCATAATAGGATGAGACGGCCGTCTGATGCTTCCAGGTTTTCAATAGCGGTCTAACATCAATCGATTCATGATCTCAATCAAAAATTAGTATAATTGTTTGAAAGGGTCAAACATAAATGCTTAACTAAACTGAAATAGTCGAATTAATCATATTTCATATAACTAGTTCCTTTGATTATTTATTGTAATGTAAGTACAGTAAACATTATGGGATGAAGTGAATTTTTTGGAAGAGCACAGGCCACCCACCAGCACTCTCCACCCAATCCTGTCATGGGCAATCCTTTCCAGATCTTTCTAGTTGTTATTCATCCTTTTCATATCTGTTTCTGTTTCCCGACGTAATATAGACTTTGGCCTTCCACTTTTCCGCTTCCCTTCAGGATTCCAAGTTAGGGCTTGTCTCGTGATGCAGTTTGGTGATTTGAGTAATGTATGTCCTATCCATTTCCATCGTCTTTTCCTAATTTTCTCTTCAGCTGGAAGCTGGCTTGTTCTCTCCCACAAAAGGCTGTTGCTGATGGTATCCGGCCAATGGATGTTGAGTATCTTGAGTAGACAGGTATTTATAAATACTTGTACCTTCTTGATGATGTTTGTGGTAGTTCTCTACGTTTTAGCTGTGTACATTTGGACTGTATGGACGTTCGTATTGAAGGTTGTGACTTGTTGAAAGTTGTTTTGAGTTCCATATATTCTTCAATTGTAGGAATGTGGCTCTTACTTTGCCAATCCTCGCCTTTATATCTGCATCTGATCCTCCTTGTTCATCGATTATGCTTACCATGTATGTGAAAGATTCTACATCTTCCAGAGTTTCGCCATCAAATGTAATTGCGTTGGTGTTCAACGTGTATAGGAGAATAATAAGAAAATAATTAAGCGATTATGACATAATCAGCTTCAACAAACATGTGTGGATTGTTATTAAAACAGTAAGACTAAATGATAAAATTAATGATAATTAAAAGTATAATCATCAAATAATCCTTGTAATAATGATAATAATGATGTAAATAATGATAAAACGTTTACTATGGGTGAGTTTGTGAATATAGTTTGATTGTTATTTAGTTACAATGAAGAACTGTCATTATAAAATGTGCAGTATTGGGCCATACTACCAAAATAGGCTTTTGTTAAGATTCATTTATATTGATGTGAGACAGTTATAAACTACAAGCAATTTAAGATGATCATGTAATAATGTAGATCAATTCAAGTTAATCATCATTACCGTCGAATACCGTTTCAGTGATCTTGTAGTTGAATATTCGTGTACGAAACCTAACCTTCTGGGTTCGATTTCCGGATGTGGGGTCAGAGATTCGCGGAATGAAAGAGCGATCCAATGCCTACAAGTTCTAATTTTTGTTTAACTGCTATTAGTTTGTGATTTAAAAAAATAGTGATTAACAGTCATTCATCTAAAACGATGAAATCTTTCTATCAGTTCCGCTATTATGACAATTTTTCCATTCCTATTTTATCAGATACATATATTACTCAATAAACTCCTCATATTTCTATAAACATAGAAAGAATAATGATGACTGTGAGATAACCTCTTGAATTCTTTGGATAGAAAACATCAAAAATAGATTCTGAGCACTAAACAGATTGCCTACATGTTCAATGTTCTTACTCAACTTGTCATCAAGAGAACAATTTGTACGAAATTACAATCTGATTTCTGATTATTGAAGATTGAAAGAGAAGAAGAAATAATAATGATTCGATGCTAGAAATGACAACATAAAGAATAATAATGATGATTAAGATTATGGTTTTACTTACTTTCGTCTGTTAAGCCGAATGGAGGATAGGCCGCCGACCAGCAGTCTACAACTCACTCTGTCCCACTCTACCTTCCTTTCTAGTTCTATACAATTCTTGTTCATTCTTATCATGTCTATGTGCATTTCTCAAAGTAATGTGTTCTTTGGTCTTCTTCTTCTCCTCATTCGGCCTTGAGGATTCCATGTGACGGCTTACCTTGTGAAGCAGTTGAGTGCGTTCCTCAATATGTGACCTATCCACTTTCAGCACTCCTTCCTGATTTCTTCCTCCACTGGAATCTGGTTTGTTCTCTCACATAGTAGATTGTTGCTGATAGTGTTTGGCAAACGGATCCGAAGTATTTTGTGTATACAACTGTTAATAAACTCTTGTATCTTCTCGATGATGGCTTTGGTAGTTCTCCAGGTTTCCAACCCATACAATAGAACTGTCTTGACATTTGTATTGAAAATTCTCACTTTGGTGTTGGTTGACAATTGTCTTGAGTTTCAAATGTTCTTCAGTTGTAAATGTGCTGCTCTTGCTTTGCCGATCCGCGCCTTCACATCTGCATCAGATCCATCGTGTTTATCAATGATGCTGATCAGATATTTAAATGTTTTTACGTCTTCCAAAGCTTCTGTGCCAAGTGTGATTTGATTAGTGCATGTTGTGTTGTATCGAAGAATCTTGCTTTTCTCTACTAGACGATCACATTTTTATTTTTTTTTTCGATATTCACGAATAGAATTTATTTCCTAAATTTATGTAGATCGTTTTTATTTGTCATATTACACAAAACGTCTTCAATCATTTGCCTAGTTACTTTTTCAATAGTTGAGATCATAAGTCAATCGAAGCTAGACCAATATGGAAGACCTAGAAGCGCTGGTTAAACATTTCGTCCTATTATGAGACTCCACAGCAGTGCGCATCCACGATCCCGCCTCACGAGATAGGAACCTATGACCTATCAGTCTCGAGCGCGAACGCCCAACCTCTAGACTACTGAGCCTTCCGAAATTCAGTCGTGTTAATGTCTAACTTCAACTAATCCACAAAATTGAGCAACCCATCCATTATATATTAATTATCCAATGATTTCCAATATTTGTGGAGATAAAAACTAATGAATAGGTGAAGTTTATATTCTAAGAAAGAATTACCACTTTTCAATCATGATATCTTGAGTAAAATTTAACAGAAGTTCAATCAGACCCCTGTCTTTGTTATCTGATTACTATAATATAACTATGTAATGATCAGTACAATGACATACGACCTAGAATAATTTTTTTCAGATTTTATTTCAACAGTTTACATTGTTTACTCTTATCTCAAATTATATTTGCTTGTTAATTCATTCTGAGGTTATCTGACTGTTTATCTATTTTTGTTTGGTTTATCAATGATGACCTTAAGTTGTGAAAAATAAGGAAATTGACAAACAATAGTTGAGATCATTAGTCGATTGAAGCTAGACCAACAAGGAAAACCTGGAAGTATTGGACGGCCGTTTCGTCCTATTGTGGGGCTCCTCAGCAGTACGACCTCATCATCCCGTCTCGTAAGGACCTATCAGTCTCGCGCGCGCTAGTGCTAAACCTCCAAACCACTGAACCGGCCGGCATCCAATAGTGTTACTGTCTACGTTCAAAGCCTTCTGATATTAGATGTAGTATACTATGATGAAACAATTGACATTTGTAGATCGTCGAATTTTAGTTCAGTAGTCATTATTGGAATCTGAAGCTTCCAAGTTCGCTTCACCTGATGAATCCATTAATCTGTACACTGAAAAATGTGTATAAACTAATACGAAACGGCTTTTCTGTTTGGTAGGTTGGTTGAGTCTTGATGTATTACGTGCCTATACCAAAGAAAGAGATACCATCTTCAGTCCCTAAGTGAACATCAACTTATTTTATTTATTTATTTAAACACATAAACATTGATACAAGGAGGCACCAAATAGATATGCACCACACAAATCATTCGATTTCTATGAGGGCTGGGATACTGCTCGGGTGCTAAAACGGAAACAGGTGGTTTTCTTAGGGATCACACCGAGAGCCTTCGACCTAAAGGTTTTATCCACAAGGCAGTGGAACAACGTCAGGAGATGCAGCTCCAT